TGAGATTGTAGTCTTTCAGAGAATTACTGCCAACATCTGAATCTTTTGCAGTTGGAAGAGGAAATCTGTCCCCTTCATTTGCGATCTCTGTAACATTGAGAATATAGGTGCTGTCCGGAAAAAATGGAGCATTGTCATTCATATCTATAATTATAATTTCAAGCCGATAAAGTCTGTGAGGATTTTGAGCAAGAGCCTCTAAATTTAACGCACATTTCTGATTGCTGCCACACAACTCCTCGCGATCAATCCGGTCTTTGACAAACAGCGAGCCCGTTTTCACATTTACATCAAAATACTTTGCATTTGATCCTGCAGGCATAATCTGAAACATGCGTGATTCTAGTTCCTGAGCACTGATCTTCAGGTCTTTTGCTATATTCCCGATCACAGTTCCCTTATTTACCTCCTCGGAGACGGAATAGACAATCTGGCCATGCGAAGATTTCCATAAAGACATAAATAAAACGATCCAGAAGCCATAAGATTCTGTAACATCCATGATTGTGCAGCAGAATGTCCTGCGATTATTTACTGTAAAAACGATTGAAACAACTAAACAGACCTCTGTCGACACAATCCGACATCACGACGCAGTAATACTATAAGCCTTGGTTATTTACACGCCTTCAACGCATTTCCTCTTGTTCTGATGCTGTAAAGGAGGAGCTCAGATCAATCTCAAAGTCATGGTCTGCAGTGCCACCGCATGTTGTAAAAGTGGAGAGGCAATGAGATTCTACTTCATATAGTTTTCTGTAAAAGAAAAAGTGAACTAAATGTATCACCATACTCAAACAGTAAAATATAATCATTCGTGTCGACTCAATCATTACTAATCAACAACAAGTAATAATAAATAAACGAATTAACTAAAAACGTCACTTTCGCTGTCCGTGGTACTGAAGTGATTTACAAAATACTGCAGTTAAGCAGTAAAAAAAATAAAGAAACAAAGAGTAGTATGATATCACAGGGTAATGTTACAACATAGAAAGAAAGAAAGATCTATAAATATACACTTAATGTACAAAAGCCAAGTCAAAAAGAAATTAGAAACGCAGTACAAGCAAATCAAACTTTAAGATGAAAACAAAGCTGCACAGTGATACGAATAAAAATACACCAGAGCCACGAGATGCCGAAATAACTTGCAAAACTACCCATGGTTCCCTGAGTAGGGAACGAGACACTGCGTCCTCTAGGGGTCGCTATGGGGAACGCCTCGTCGTGACCCGTGTCTGAAGCATACATTGAAAAATCACCAACTCGTTGGCTGGCAACAGCCATGACGTCACTACTGGTGCGAATATAGTATAAATAGGCACCGGGAGCACACATCAGTCACTTCTTCGCCTGAAGCTTGCGTCCGCAGCATGGCAAGAAACCTAGAGGACGCAGTGTCTCATTCCCTACTCAGGGAACCATGGTTACATAAGTAACCTGAGACGTTCCCTTTCATGGGAACTTCGAACTGCATCCTCTAGGGGTCGCTATGGGGAACAGTATACCCACACCGCGATGCTGAGGGGAGTGCATGCCAGAAACCATGGCGAGCACTAAGTACCAACTCTACCATATTGCCATGGTAGTTGCCCCTGGGACGTTTAGACGACTGTCAGTGACATTATTCCCTACGGCCAAAGGCCTAGGCTACATACCCCAAAATACTTACCTGTTAGGGCCAGACTCCTGGGCCCGGGGTAGAGCTCAAGGCTTGGAATCAGAAACAGATTCCTTTAAGGGAATACGACCAAGAGCCTAGAATCATACTAGTCTTGGCCTGTCACACAGGAGCTACCGCACGTTTCTCTTTGTATGTGCTGAAGGAACTGTCTCAACAGA